GTATCATCACCATTTATGATCAGTTATCGAGCAATAAATCCCACAATTAAGTTTCAATTCGTTAGTTGAAGAAATTGTGTAAAACCCGCAACTAAATAAATATGACTCGTCTTTTCCGATCCAGGTCTTGCACAGTTACCGGCTTAATTGCTGTCAAATCAATGCCGCCAGAAAAACCCTCCTCCCCAAATAGCCCCTCCGTTTATGGAGACGAAGAGCCGGAGGAAGACAAGGAAGAGGGATATTTCGGGGATTTCTTTAGTGATGAGGAGTTTGAGAATCCTGTTACGACGCCGTTTATAAGCCCGGAGAGGAGGCATGGGCGTTGGGTCAAGGGACAAGGCCGAAATGAGCATAATAATAATAATAATAATCAGCAGTTCTCGGTCCTGGCGATGGTGGCGACGGCGCTGCGGCGGTCTCTGGTTTCTTGCAGTGTTGATAGGGATCACGTGGCGTCTGATGTGGACATCGGGTGGCCTACCGACGTCCGACATGTCTCACATGTCACCTTCGACCGCTTCAATGGCTTCCTTGGACTTCCGGTAGAGCTCCAGCCGGACATCCCCCGTACAACCCCCAGCGCCAGGTTTATATCTCTCTTTTTTCACTTTGCTATACACAGATTTGGGTTTTGGCTGAATTTGGAATTTTTATGTTTTTTTTGGATCCAGAGTTATAGTTGTTATTGAATGATTTACTTATGAGTTGGGTCAATAATTGTCTAATTCTTCCTCCGGATTTGGTTTATAATGAATTCCCGTACAATTTTGTTGTCCAATTTTACCTGGTGAAATGTAAAGTGCTTCCATTAATAGATGGTAGGAGTGCCTTAATTAGAATAGAACAGCTTCCATTGGCTTCTTTCAAATATATGAAAGATATTTTTGCTCTTTGTTCAACTAATTTTGTCTCACGGGCGCTATACTGTTTGGACATACAATAATCAAAGCTTCCTTCGAAGATTAAGAAGATTATTGCGACTTGGAATTATGATTATCCTCTGCTGAAATGCCTATCTTCTGTCAAATGATGTATTGATGCACTGTTTAAACAAATTTCTTGCTATCGGCAAGGGTGATTATGTTTTCTAAATTAATTGAGATTGGTCTGTCTTAAAAGGTTAAACCCTAACCTTAAGGGTCTCCCACCACCCTTGCCCTGGAGCATCGTGAGAGAGGTAAATCGCAGGTTATGCCTCCAAGGGTACAAGGTGGAAGGCTACTTGTATACTTGCACTTACCCAAGAGCCAAATCCATATTTCAGGATTCGAACCCTTGACGCAGCAGCCTCAAGCAAAGCTGGATTTCTCCACCCTCCCCTTTTACCATTTGGAGATGTGCCCTGGGGGCAAGATTGGTCTGTCTTAGTTTTACATGTGATGGTTGGTTATTTTCTAATGTCAATCACATTATGGAAACAAACGTTTGCTAAGGCAGAGCCACCTGGCCACATTGTGGCAATAATACTAGTCCTTACATGGACACTGGAGTAGATTGTTAAAATTTCGACTTCTTAATTTTTGGTTTTGTAAAAGTGTTAAATGAATCTGAAGTAGTCTAATATGAAGGACATCATTTAGCGTATCAATTTATTTCTGAAACTAAAATAATTGAAAATTTAATACCTGTTCTCTATTTGTTTGTTTTATCTTGTGTGCACCTGTACTTTGTATATGTATTTTGTATGTTTGCATGTATTCGTCTATCTACATGTATACATATGCATGCCCTAGATTTCTATATTCACTTACTAGAATGCAAGTCCTGACTTCTGCCTTTTGCCACCACAATGTTTCCAGTGCAAGTGTTTTTGGAGTTTCTGCACAATCAATGCAGTGTTCTTATGATGATAGAGGGAATAGTGTACCAACAATTCTTCTTAGGATGCAAAACCAGTTGTATTCAGAAGGCGGTCTTCAAGTATGCATATATGTATTTATTGGTAGTTTCTTAATTGCTATTGGCTTCAATTTTCATTGATTAAAAATGTTATAAATGTTTGGTTGAAGGCAGAAGGAATATTCCGTATCAATGCCGAGAACAGTCGAGAAGAAATTGTCCGAACCCAGCTTAATAATGGGGTTGTGCCCTGTGGAGTTGATGTTCATTGTTTGGCTGGGTTGATAAAGGTACCAAGAGAATTTTGGATAAATATTCTTCTATTATTTTGAGGAGAATATTATGAGATGAAAGTTATTTCTTCTTAAGTTGATATGTGCACAGGTTAACTGAAATTGATGAAGGTATGGAATGGGATCATTCTTAGTCAGATGATGTTCTGTTGAACTTATATGAAGTAATAAAGAATGGGAAATAACTCTTGAGAAGGAATTATATAAATTAGTTTTAACGTACAATTTACATTGGATAGGTTTTGTTTCCTAGTTGTATTACGCCTATGAAAAATTAAAATATTTCATAACCTTGTTAGACCAGCCTTTTCACATTCTCTATCAATATACTGTCCACAGAAGATGCCATGGAACTAGTTGCAAATGCATTTTTCTTTTTTTTAGTTCCATCCAAATGACAATGAGTTTCTTACAATTAAAGTTTGTATTTAGTAGTAACTTTGGATTGCCCACGTATGCGGAGATACTGTTAGTTACATGAGATGAAATTAATGAGTTACAAACAATAGTGATGGTTGGCAGCTAATAAAATCTGTCACTTACGTCGTTTATCTCTAAACTTGTACGAACATGTTTAGAAAACGGTGCTAAAACAGGAATTCTTCTTAATTAACCATTCTCCACTTTCTACACCCTCATTCTATAAGAAGGTAGACCAATTTTCGTTCTGTTGAAATTCTAGGACAAATTGATTTTTCACGTTGCATAATGAGTTAATTATTTTTGGCACTTAGCTTTAGGGAAAATTTAGGTTATCCAGAACCGGCTCTAGTATTTTAAGCATTACTGGCTTTATTTTTTATATTTTGCTAGAAAATTATCAAAACATATTTGGAAGAGAGAGTAAGAATAAATTGTATGGTATTTTGGTAAGTGTCACATATATGCCTAATTGTCTTCACTTCTAATGGATTAGGTACTTCAGCTACTAAACAATTTTGTTTTTGAAGTTGTAGGCACATTTTTTTCTGCATCGTATTAGCATGTACTTAATTCTATCTACACTACATGGACTTGGGAGAGGGGTGCAAGAAATAGGCACACTTCTGAGTGTGTGATTGTGGCAAGTCTACCAATTTAAACTTAAAATGAAGGATCCATATGCAATACCTCACCTGAGCCTCAAGTGTGCGATATGGGTATCTGACCTTAGTATTTATCAGCATTATGCTCAACTGCTGTCATTGGTGCATCCTAACTTGCAGTTGCGCTTGCTCTTTCAAGCATGTGAATGGTATTTCAATGAATGGATCTAATAATAAGACCTTAAATTTCTCCCTTGTGGAAAACCCGATTACCTGTGCCTTTAAGAGTAACTTTTAAGAAAGAAACTGTGAATAGGAAATTTGCATTTATTAGTTCATCAGTGAAAGTTCATTGACTTGATGTAATTTCTTACCTGCTTTCCAGTTTGCTATTCAAAAGTTAAGTTTTCCTTTACACTGACTGACTATAATATGATCTAGTTGTCAACTGGATAAATTGGCAATCATAGCACAGGGCCTACAGACTAGGAAAATTCTTCCTTTCTTCAGATGGATGATGCTTTGTGCAATTTATAATTGATAGTAGATTAAAGCAAAACAAACTGTCACTGACTATTACTTGATGCTATGATTTAAATGGTTCAGTGAAGCTGTGTGATGTGTGCTATAAGAATGGGGAACTATCTCTGTTTCATATTGTTTGTCAACTTGATTGCTTCAATAAATGTTCTAGAGCCAATTTTCTGGTTGCCTCGTGATATTGTAACTGTGATAACTGATGACCACTATTTGACACTTTCAGGCTTGGTTTAGAGAACTACCAACTGGAGTTCTCGATTCTCTGACCCCAGAACAGGTGATGCATTGCAACACCGAAGAAGAGTGCTCCCAGCTTGTAAAGCTGCTTCCACCAACTGAAGCTGCATTGCTTGATTGGGCTATCAACTTGATGGCCGATTTCGTGCAAAATGAACATCTAAATAAGATGAATGCACGCAACATTGCTATGGTTTTTGCTCCCAATATGACTCAGGTGCTTTAGCCTTCTTTGCACCTTACGTTCTCTCTTTATTATTTTTGCTTCATGGGTCTTTTGAGTTCAATCAGTTAGACCAATTTCTAGTCATTTTGAGGCCTCAACAAATATTCTAGCAATCTCTTCCACGCTTAGATTTTTGTGACATGACCATTCTATTTTTGATCTTCAGATTCTTGTAATTGGGGGTCATGACTATTTTTCAAGACAAGTTATTGTATCAGACGAAATAAGGAGGAAATGGCATTTTTAACACTTCTGTTATATGATTCAAAATTTTTATAATGATTCAAATACTATAAATAAGCAGTCTTTGTATATTACATTTAATACATAAAATTAATTGTTAATACATAAATTTAAACACTCGTTAAAATTTCTAGATACATGAATGCGAATAAATTCATCTATAATAACTCTAGATTCATAGAACTCAAGATTCATCAAGTGAAAATTCATTAAATCCATATTAAAGTGAATGTTAATTAATTGAGAATTAATAACACGAATTTCATAAACGACAATAATTATATAGTATTCATTACATATCAAAAAACGAAAAGTAAGGTATTGTTGAAATAATTAAATTGTGGAGGGTTAAAATCGTCTAAAAAATTATTCTTCCTTGATTTATATTATAGATTATAGATATATTCTTGGGGTTTGCATGATGATTGAACGAAGACTTAATTTGTCGGTAACAGCTATTATCATTCTATCACCCTTTAAAGGTTGTGGATCAACCTGAACAATAACTTAGAACACTAGCGATGCAATTGCAAGCAGGACATTCTGAGCAAAACATAAGAATTTTTAATAACTTATTAGTATGATTTATGAAAACTATAATTTTCTCTCTATTTAATGCTACTGTATGTAAATATATTTCCCCATCATCGTTCCAAAAAAATAATAATAATAATAATAAATTAAATTGACCAAAATATCCTTAAAATTTTCTTAATTCTTACTTGGATTCCAAAATTGTTAGATTCCAAAATTCTTTCTTCTTTCGCTCAATCATAAAATTCATTTGTTTCTCTCACTCAACTCGACCCCAAATCGACCGCTAATTCGTCGACATCTCTCACCCACGAAAATTGTCACCGTGCCACCTCTGTTGCCTCATTTTTAGTGAGAAAAAAACCCAAACTGAACGATCAATTTCTTTTTTTCTTTCCTTTTCTTAATCCCCTTTTTCTTCTAATTTTCAATTTGACCATTGAAATGAGTCTCACATTTTAGAGGCATGACATGAGTGTCTTCTTAGAAGCGGTGATGTGGATCAATTAGAAGAGAAAATTCTAAATCAATTAGAAATAAGAAGGATCTATGAAAACGCATATAACTTTCGGTTCGAATGTCGAATTTTCATCCATAAGTACAATCCAAAAGCGTGTTAAGATTCTAAATAATATTCTTGCCAACATTGTCAAACTTTCAAGTCAAATTCCACCGCTTCGAGGTCCGTTTTAGCCTTTTTTCTGTTTTGAATCAATTTAAGGATAATTTCATCATTTTAACAGTTTTTTAGTTCTGATTGGAGCAACTTAACAAAGTTTTGTTCTTCAAGATATAATCTATTGCGGAATTAAATAAAGATGAGCAACCATATGTAACGTGGTAAACCCCTAAGTGAAATATCCACAGTCCCCTTGCCAAGGGTAAAATAATTCACTTTCAAAGAACAAAAAATACAATAACTTTAATTTAGTAATTTCACAAAATTAACTAAAACAATCAAAAGCAAATAAAGAACAACTCCCTTGTTTTCTTACTCCTTTTAACTTGTTAAAGATGTAGAATCAAACTCTTTAGTCTTGACTTTATCGTTACTTCACTATTGTATTCGGCTGTAAAAACCACTAGAATTAAGATTCACCAATTTTAACTCTTTTCAAGTAGTTTGATCTTTGAGTACAATTATATCATTCACACACAGGTGTGTTCTCTTCAATTACGGTTTAAAAATACAATTTTTGCTTTGAGATACTTCAATGGAACATCAACCAGATGGCCAGTAGTTAATGGAGATGGTCAGAAGACTTCAAAACTTCCTACTACAGGTTCATCGAGCATAGACAGATCTTTCTCAAAGCATTTGTTCATCCCTTAATGATTTTTTTTTTTTTTATATTTATATAAGGACGCCCCAAGACAAGAACGTATTTTACTACTAAGCCCTTTACAGGATTTTGTTTACAAAATTAGAATTTCAATACAATAAGGATTTATTTTAGTCTATAAATATGTGTTAAGGTTGTAAAAACATTACATTCATTTTTCTTGATTATTTTTTTTTTCCATTATTTGGTGGATTATAATAATTTCCACGTATGTTCAAGCGAAATTCAAGTAAATACTCATTCATGTCACTTTTATTATTAAACACGTCTTCGAGTGTGTCAAGCAGAGAAGTTGCTGTGAAAGTGGAGATTTTAGGGGGGTGCTTTGTTTGTAAACAGAGAGGAGGGGAAGAACATGATAAACTGATTCAGTTCGAGCGTTGAATTTTTATCTGTGAGTACAATCCAAAAGCGTGTTTCGGTTCTACATAATATTACGACCAACATTGTCAAAGTTTCAAGTCAAATTCCATTGTTTAAATGTCCATTTAAGCTTCTTCATTTTTTTATTTTTATTTTTTTTCCATTTTGAATCAATTCAAAGATAATTTCTTACTTTTACAGTTTTTTAGTTCCATTCGAATTTGTTTTACAAATTTCAGGTTTACTGGATTTTGTTTACGTAATTAGAATTTCAATATGATTAAAATTTATTTTGATATGTGTTAAGGTTGTAAAAACATTACATTCATTCTTCTTGATTATTTTTTCCGTTATTTGGTAGATTTGAATAATTCCCACGTATGTTCCAGCAAAATTCAAGTAAATACTCATTCGTGTGTTACAAACAAGAACACTTTTATTATCATCAACGTTTTTGCCCTGTGTCAAAAAAATGTTACACGGATTCTATCTAATTTTTCATCACATCTGAGCAATGTATTTTATTTATTTATTTATTATTATTATTATTATTATTATTATTATATTTTTTTTTTTTTTTGAAGTCCTCAGGTATATAACTTCACTTGGCAGTTGAGTGTCTAACCACTTAGAAAAATATATCTTTTTTTTTTTGTAAACCATTTGTTATTTAATTGTTAAATAAGTTTTGGGCACTATTTAATCTGTAAATGTGGAGTAGATGTTGGTTTTTCGTTATACTTTTTTTTGTTGTATGATTGTTTTTTTAATTTTTATGTCCATGTTTTCATGCGTTTTCGAATTTTTAGGACAACAAATATCAAAATTATATGGCGGTAACATGTTGAGATTAGAATTTGTGGCTTGAAAATGTGGTAGAACTTTGAATCTGAAAAATATAATTTTTAAATAAGATGAAGAGAATTTCAAATGGATATTGCATATAATCTCTAGTTTGATGAGTTAAGTAACAAGTTTTCGCAAAGTAAATATCGAATTTTGAAAACATCTGGAGAGTCGGTCTAATCTCAAATTTGTTATGAACATCTTGAGTTTACTCGGCTGCATAATTTCAACACGAATAATTTTTTTATCTACAACTTCAAATGGCACTCTGCCTTTTGCATTGAACTCTAAATTCATATATTTTTCTGATGATATATTATTTGCTATGTGCACAGATGTTTGTAACAAAAATTGTACACTAGTTTGGGACACAACCCGCGATTTACCTGATCTGCGTAAAGAGGGACTGAATCGTAGACTCAAAAATTAGTCGCTATAAGGTGGACACTTGAATATCAAAAAAATAAAAAATAAAAAAATTGTACACGAGTTCTTTCATATGCTCTGCAAGTAGGTTTCTCATTTGCCTCTTTTGGTCCTTTCGTGTCCAAATTTTCTTCTTTTTGCATGAATAATCTTCAAATTCGAGATTTAACCTATAAAAGCTATATATAGTCTATATTAAGTAGAATTTTCCTCAATCCACTAAGAAAACTGAGATTATACATTTTAAAGTTTCTATAAAATTCGAAATTTTACAACATTTCAAGATTTTCCATATTTTGAAATTTTAAAGGCCTATCTAAAACAAGGTGCTAGATTGAAATATCCGTGCAAGTCGAGATTTCTGAAAAATTCGAGATTTCCATCAATTCAAGATTTTCAACTAAATTTGACATTTAGGGTCCGTTTAATTGCAAAAATGAAATTTGGATGGAAAGAAAACGAATTTCAGGGAATTGAATTGCCTAAAAAATATTTTCTTGGGAATTGTAAATTATTGTGTTTGATTGGCATAATTTTTCACGTGAAAAATGTTGAAATAAAAGTATTTTTTGATGTGCGTTTGGCTTTGTTTTACATAAAAATTGTCAATTAAATGTATAAAATTTATTAGTATTGGGGATGAAATTTGTTTCCATTGCAAAAAAATTAAAAATAGAAAATTCAAGAAAATCATCTATGTTTTAATGTTCGTTTGACTTTTTTTACATGAAAATTGTCAATTAAAGGAAAAATATTTTTTTACAATTAGAAATATAATTTGTTTCCATTACAACCCCTCCCCCCCCCGCCCCCAAAAAAATAAAAATAAAAATTGTCAACATTGCCTGGAAAATCAATTCCCACCATATAAAGCTGGAAATTGTCTAATAGCTGCAAAAATGGAAAAAACCTATTCCCTAGAAAATAATGGTGTCAAACATGCAAAAAATTAAACTTGGAATTGGAATTCCTAATTCCGTGGAAAACTTTGCTTCATCAAACACTGCCTTAGTGCTTATTTGTCACTCTTTAAAATTTTAAATTATTTGCTACAGTATCATTTTTCTGTACTACATAATCACACAATAAAATATTCTATACAAAAATCAATAAAATTTCTTTATTTTTTAATCACACATTCTCTAAAAAATACTACTTAAAACTTTTTAATTTTCACAAATAACGGGTGACAAACAGGGCTTAGACTATAATTTGAGTTTATACTAAATTTCTATGTTTCAAATATACAATCGAAAGTTTGATTTGCTACTACGCAATTACGAGGTTTCAATTTCGACTTTTTAAGTTAATAAATTACATCTAGCCCTTGCTTAATCCCTATTATTTCCAAAATAAAATTTTCTCTTTCTTATTTTCAATGACACATTCTTTAATAAAATAATATTACACCTAAATTCAAAAAAAAATCTTATTTTTTAACCACAGATTCTCCAAAAATCACTATTTTTAAAACTCTTTTTTTAAATAATGGCAATCAAATTTA